CCAGGAATGTGAGATGACACAGGGTAGTAGTAATCAAATGACGAAAAGCAGCAATCACAATCAATATACGAATGATCAAAAGTTTCGTAACACTGACCCAGACAACACGTATAGTCATAAAAAGACCACGAGGTAGGTGCGTGACGCTGCCACGGCAGAGGTGGCTTCTCCACCCAGTAACACCACCCACGCTGAATTAGCGGATAGAGGAAGGCAAGGTGATGGCATCAAGTGGATCGGCCGAACCCAACAGTGCCTGGCGCCGATGCCGTTGGCGCACCAGGGACACATGGAGCCCGAGGGGAAAATGCAGGTGGGCAGGGACCTTTGCATCATCGTTGCCGAAAAGCTAGATTGTGTGGAGCAGAATGTTGGTTTATGGTCGCGTTGGTGCAACAAAAACAATCAACGTCTGCGTGGGCACAGGCGGGGGGCCTGCTACACTGGTGTGCAACAGCAGCGTAGATCCTCTGTGGCGAGTCATGGTGATGATCACGATGATGACGACGATGATGACGATGATGATGATGATGATGATGATGATGATGATGATGATGATGATGATGATGATGGTGATGGTGATGGTGGTGGCGATGGCGATGGTGATGGTGATGGTGATGGTGATGAAGACGACTTTGATTAGTTTGATTATGATGCTGATGATGGTTGTGATTTTGATTCGTGGTTGTGATGATTATGGTGATGCTGGTGATGGTTCTGAGGATGGTAGGATGATGACACTGAGGAGGAACACCAGGAGGAGAAAACACACGAGGATGAGGGATGAGGGGGTGGAGGATCAGCCAGATTCTTTGACTTGACTGAGGGGGTTCTGACAGATTTCGGGGGCATCGTGTTTCTCGTATGTAATTGTAGCCAGAGTCCAGTATCTCAGTATCCCAAAACAGCGTTTTGTTGAAGAAAAGCTGACTCCTAAAAGTGTTCGCGCTTCCTCCTGCTCCCAGTCGGCCTGCGCCTTCAATATCGTCGTCGAGCTCTCCGTCATCGTCGTCATCCTTCTCCTCATGCTCCGTGACCATTTTATTTTCTTTCGCGCCCTCGCCCTCCCCCTCGCGCGTGGCATCTCGGAGGCAAGAGCTGTGAGGATGTCTCAGGCGAAACGCGCCGGACCACCTCGCGAGCGGTATCTCGGAACTCAGAGGTGCTGGGACGTCTCAGGCGACACGCGCCAGACCACCTCGCGCACGAAATCTCGGAGCTCAGAAGTGCGAAGATGTCCACGGCGGCACTCGCGGGACAACCTCGTGCGCGGCATCTCGTAGGTTCGAGTTGCGAGGATGTCTCAGGCGAAACGGGCCAGACCATCTCGGGCGGGGCGAAACGCGGCGGACCACCTCGCGCGCGGCATCTCGGAGCTCAGAGAGTTTCAAGGACTGCTCAGGCGGAACCCGGCAGATCAGCTCGCGCGGCGTCTTCGAGCTCGGAGTTTCGAGGATGTCTCAGGCGAAACGCACGATCCCGGCCATTTCGGAAGCGAGAGCTCTGTGGACGTCTCAGGCGCAACGCGCCAGACCACCCAGCTGTGTTGAGGATGTCTCTGCGGGGCCTTCCCTCGGGCGGAACTGGCCTTTGTCACAGCAGCACCCCGAGCTGCTCAGCTGCTCGAGGGAGAAAGGAGCGAGCCAGGGAGGCGAGGAGAGGGGAGACAGGAGGCGGCGAGGTAGAGATGGGGCAGAGAGAGTCGGGGTTCAGTCGGGTATGTCCCTCTACAGGAAGAGTATACACGAACAGTAAATAGTAATAGTCTGGTGACGATTTGTCGTGCTCTTTGGATCATTTTGTGCTCATCTTGTGACTACTGCTTTTTGTGAACAAGCGAATCTTACGAAACATCCGCCTGTAGGAGGACAGGCCCGACCTGAAGTCAGGGAACGGAGGGGCGGAGGGACCCAGATCTGTGCAGGCGAAGACCAGCATCGAGGTGCGCCGTTCCGTCATCGGGGGCGCCCGACCCCACGTGCCGCCGTGTGGGCAGAAGTCTCCCAGCCGCCCAGGTGTGCACCGTGCTGCGCCCGCCTAGCGCAGCCTGCGTCGTCCCTTCGTGTTTGTTTTGTTGTTGTTGGTGTTGGTGTTGTTGTTGTCGTCGTCGTTGTTGTTGTTGGCGTGCGTGGGGTCCTCAGCCCCTGGTGTCGCGCTCTGGCTCGCAGCCGCGGGCCCCCGGAGGGCTCGACTCCCTCCGGGCGGACCAGTGGCTCTTCCACTGCGCCGTTTTTGGACGGCCCAGGGGCCTCGTGAGGGCTCCCAGAGGCCGAGCATGGCCGAAAACTGTCCGTTCCCTTTTTTCAGGACGCCACGGGGTCTGAGAAGAGTGCACAGACACAAATAAACGTCGAGTCCGAGGAGAATATGGGAAAACATGGGAAGTGGAGGGGAAGACGAAACTCCAGAAAATATGGAAAAGGATTGGGAATCCTGGGATATGTTTCTATTTGCCTGTGTGTTCTTGGGCCACTTTCGAATGATATTCTGCCGGTCTTTGGCAGGTGGTCTACTCCGAGCCGGGCGAGGAGCCCGTGTCGCTGCCGGTCGACGGGAAGGGGCTCTTGACCTTCGACTTCAAGGAGTTTGCCGCGGGTCGCTATTGTTTCCCAGCGTCCGCAGCATCGTCGGCGTCGTCACTGTCGTCGTCGAGCGAGGGTCGAGGTTTTGGATGTCGTGGGGCCTCTGGCGGACCCCCGTGGGGCTTCTCGTCGCCGCGGGGCCAAGCCACAGGAAACTGTCGGAAGCCGAATAGCCATGGGACAACGTGCGGGAGATGGGGCACGAGGGAGCCAGAGAAGGCAAGCCATAGGAGGCCACAGGAGGCAGAGCAGGCACCGAACCAAGTACGGGAGACACGGCAATTGGGCGGCTAGCCACCCACAGGAGGCCAGGCAACCACCGAAAAAGTACCAGGCAGAGGGCCATCGGGGTGGAACGCCAGGGGGGAGCCAGAAGAGCCAAGCCACAGGAGGCCAGGACAGGCAGCCAGCAGAGTCAATGCCAGAGGGAAGTGGGGTGGGAAGCCAGAAGGAATTCATAGGAGGTCAATCCATGAGGCCGTAGGAGGCCAGGCAGGCAAGCAGGTAAGCAAGCAATCAAGCAAGGAGCGAGCAGTCAAGCGAACAAGACATCGCGCAGGCAATCATGTGCAAGGACGCGTATTTAACTCACAAGGACTCGCGAACACACCCAAGTACGCACAAACATGCGCAAGCACGCGCAAGCAGGTACAATAAAGCGGAAGCATCTGAAAGCGCGTGCAAGCAAGCGCACGGAGGTGTAAGCACATGCAAGCAAGGAGGCGAGTGCATGCAGAACCTCGGTTGTGTACCCGTACGGAAGCACGCGCAACCACGCGCTATCTAATCGCACCAAAATAAAGCAACCCGGCAAACGCAATTTAGATTCCGTATCCATTCTGGCCCAAGCAATTTGTTCGATTGGAACTTTTTGTTGTCACAGGCTGCCCTGCCCGGCCAGAGCCGAGAGCGCGCGTCGCAAGATATGCAGGTCTGTCATCGCCATGACGCGCTGCACGGCACGAGCATGCAGGCGATCTCTTCCATCGGCCACAGCTCGAAAAAGAAGAAACGCCATGAACATAAACTTTTGGCGCTTCGCGCGGGTTTCTTGGATCTGCGATGGCCCCCCCAGCGGCGCCTTTGGCGCCGCCCCTGGCGCGCTCCGCGCGCCAGGGAGGGGGTCTGGCGCAGATCCAAGAAATCCGCGCGGAGCGCCAAAAATCTATGTTCATGGCGTTTTTTCTTCTTCTGGATCTCCTCCATCGCCCACGGCATCTCTGCAGCAGGGAGCCTCGGCCCGACAAGCACGGGCAGCGATGCGCTTCTCGACTACTCCGCCCTGAAAGAGAGCCTGCGGACCCGCGGGCACGTGCGCGTGCCCCTCGGCGCGGGCGCCTCGCCCGAGGTGGCCGAGCGCATCGCCCGGGCGCTGACCCACTGCGAGGCCGGCGGTGGCCAGTACAACGCGGGCGGCGGCGTGCACCGCGGGAGCCTGGAGGGCTCCGCCTTCCTCGACGCGGCCGAGGGCGCGCCCGCGAGCCTGCGGATCCAGCCGCACAACGAGATGGCGTACAGCAGCCGGTGCTCGAAGGGGAATGAGCGCCGTAGAGATAAGACCTTTGGGGCGCTCCGCGCGGAGGGCCGAAAGTTCATGTCTATGGTGTTTTTTCTGCTTCTAGGTTCCCCGAGTGCGTGTCATTCTTCATGATGCAGTCCCGGGTCCTCAGCGGGGGGCTCACCGAGTTGTACGACAACCTGAAGCTGACGCGGCGGCTGGCCGAGACCGCGGAGGGGGCCCTGGTCCTGGCCAAGATGACCGCACTGGGCATCCAGTACGTCCGGCTCCTGCACGACGAAGCGGACAGGAAGCGCCCCGGCTTCTACGCGTCCTGGGAGACGTCTTTCTCGGTAGATGATTTCGACGAAGCCCTGAGAAAGGCCAACTCGTCCAAGGATTCGTTCGCGCTCGCCTGCGACGATGCGTGCTGCGAGAAATACGTCTCGTTGGGCATGCCAGCGCCACGGATGCAGGTCGTGACGTGGGCGCCTTCCATGGTGACCCACCCCAACCTTGGGGAGATCGTGTTCACGTCTGTGTTGAACCGTCACGCGTCGTGGCTTGATGGGCACGAGGTATTCGACCGTCTTCCCTACACCGCGCGGCCCTACCACTGCAGGTGGGGCGACGGCGCCGAGCTCACGAAGAGGGAAGTGGACGTGATCCGTTCGGCATACGACGACTGCAAGATGCAGCTGAAACTGCAGAGCGGTGATCTGATCGTGCTCGACAACTTATACGTGTCGCACGGCAGGGCACCGTTCGTGCCTGGGCCAGAGAGGCGTCTCATGGGCTTGCTGATCGGCAACATGATGGAGCGGGAGGAGTCCAGGAGCATGCCGCCGCCAGAGTACGTCATCGCGAAGGAGCATGCTCAAGGTATCGCCTCGCGTCCCGACATCATTGTTGCCAGTTGACTCAAGGTGGCTTGCGGCGTGAACCGCGATGGGGAGGTTCTCCTGACAGCAAAGGCAACAAGTTAGGTGTGCTGTTTTGCAGTGCGTAGGGCACCGGAGTTAGCATGCTTTTTCGCAGTGTGCGCTGCTTTCAAGACCTCTTTCGCGCAGCGAGACCTACGCCCATGCAGCCTACCGGTATCTTGTCCGGGCCCATCCTGGGCCCAGGATCGGCGCATATGCCTCACTGGGCTAGCCAGTGAGGCGAATGCGCCAGGCCTGAGTTCCGATTGCGCCTGGCCAGGATTTCTAGGCCTCCTAGATGGGGTCGGAGTAGATGGGGTCGGAGGATCGCTCCGCATTGCCGATGCATCGGCGATGCGTCTCGATGTGGAGCCCGAGTTGCTTCACGTCGACGTCGGCGATGCATCGGGGACGTCGACGATGCATCGCCGATGCATCGCCGATACATCGCCGATGCATCGTCGATGTATCGGCGATGCGGCGCGATCCTCCGACCCCATGTACTCCGACCCCATCTAGGAGGCCTCTAGGATTGGTGTTTGTGCACAGCCAATTGTTTGGTCAAGAGGATTACGCCATTCCGTCGACCCCCTGAATAAGTAAGAAATCAAAGCAGTCGGTCGGCTCAGGCAATGAGCCCCAGTGCTTTGTGTAGGTCGTGGGGGAAGAAGTGGGGAAGGACGCGAGAGAGAGAGGGGGGGGAGGAGCAGGAGAGGGGGGGGGGAAGCCAGAACACAAGGGTGATTGGACAAAGTGTAGGAGCATGTTTTTTGTGACTCTTGGGGCCGACTTGTGTGTCCGGTTGGGCCCCCTGAGGGCACCTTTTAGGCCTGATGGGCCCTCCGAAGCCCATCGTAGATGTTTTGGAGGTCTCACCGGCGCGTTGGAGCATTTTGTGAGCTGTCTCAGAGGGCATCGTGAGCATCTTGGAGTCCGCGGTGGGTGGATTTTGGATTCCCTCGTGGTGTATTGGGGGCCCTTTGAGGGCCGCCTGGTACGGCGGGAGACAATCCAGGTAGGCAGCCTCGAGGGTGGTCTGAGGCGGTCGGAAGCCCGACGTGGCGGGGGCTTTGGCACGAAAGCGTGCCATGGGAATGAGCAGGGGCTGCCTGTCCTCAAACCATCAGGCTAGCCAGAAAAGCTTGGCCAGCCGCGCACGGCCGCCGGGTCACGCATGATTCCACTAGCACCACAGCTGGCCAGATGATCGGCGCGGTCGTTCGAGATTTGGGCAGCATGGGGTTCCACCGTCTGCCAACTCACGTCCTGATGTTGCGCCTGGCCCGAGTCCGCCGTTGCACCATGTTGGTGGCGTACTCAGAGTCAGACTCAAGGATGACCCGCGGCGTCTCCAGAGGAGGAGGTGATGCCGAAAGCCACGCTGTCACACGGTCACGAATCCAAGATCATCAAAATATAATGCAGAAATTCCTCCCAAGTTGTTGCTGTGCCGGGCGGCCCTAATGAAGCACGGTCCATTCGGGTCGAGGATGGTGGGGCTTCAGAAGTCCAGCAGCTGGTCGACGCCACGGCGGCCACTGTGAATCCCCAGCCAGAAATGGGCTCTTCGCGCGACAGTTCTGCCGAGCCGTCGCAAGAGAGCGTGATAGTATCCGGCACAGTGAAATCATCTGGAGCAGGCTGCACGGGAAGCTGTAGGTCGCCAGGACCACCTTGCGCTCCACCTTCAACGCCCACGCATGGCGTGAAATTTGTTATTTCCATGTGCTCGCCTGCTTGCCGGCGTGCGCCCAGCGGCTCGACACGCTGGCCCCGCGTCAAGGAAAAAGGAAGAACCGTTCGATGAATGTCAGCAACGTCACACGCGCGTGGCTGATCGGGGTGAAGACGAAAAGGCCTGCCACGACGGCGCTCAGCAGCAGCAGCAGCAGCAGCAGCAGCAGCAGTGGCAGTCGCGTTGGCACGTCGCAGATCCTCGGATGTAGCCCGTGCCGCATCCGAATCCACGCCAAGGGCAGCGCCCGTGCTCGCCGAAAACAGTGCACAACACCCGTGGGTCAAGAGCACGCCGCTCGGCAGCGCTGCGTTGGGCACGCCCAGGGACGATGCCCAACAGTTCCCGCGTCCCCGCCGCAGTGGGCGCAGATGTCGGAATCGTGGAATGGGATGTTGGCGCCAGAGACGATGCCCAACGGTTCCCGCGTCCTCGCCGCAGCGGGCGCAGATGTCGGAATCGTGGAATGGGATGTTGGCGGCGTTCAGCGCCGTCCACACACCTCCTTTCGACAAAGAGGGGCTGCCGAAGTGCAGCTGGGCCCAGCACATGTGCTTGCCGCGCCTCCTGCACCTTTGTAAGCCCGTTCTGCAGACCTCTGGAGTCCTTGGGCCTGCGCTTGGCCTCCTGGGAGGCGACACAGCGTTGTAGGAAAGCTCGAAAGTCGTGAAACCGCGCCTCGACGCGGGCTGCCTTCTTAAGCTCTGGCGCCATTGCGCGCTGGGCTCGCTGGAGCAGCCCTGTTGGTATGGTGACGTCAAGAGTGCGCCCCGCAGGAGATAATGTCGTCGGCGAGGTCCACTGGATACCCAAGGCAGACTAAGCACGTTGAAGAAGAACGAAAGTAACAAATCGAAGACGATCGCGTCGATGCAATCGCTCCTCCCAGACAGGGAAAGGTTTGGTGTTCGACAGCATCAGATGGTTGAATAGCCGCACGGCGGTGATGACGGCGGCGCTTGGCAAATGCGTTCGGTGTAGACCAGGGCCGGGGACGTGCGTCATTTGCCTCGATCTCCGGACAGTCGGACCCAGCGGCGCCGGGCCTATGCGCGCAACCGCCGCCCAAGCAGCAGCCGACTGCATTTGGGCCACGGTGTGCCCGAAGCCGCCGTCGGCCCAAAGTGCCGCCGTTGCGTCAGCCACGCTGGCCCAGGGCTGGAAGCAAGAAAACCTCTTGGCCACGTTGGGCCCGCCACGTAAAGATGCAGACGCCGTTGCGTCACTGGCGCTGCTGCAGCCCAGTCCATGATCAGGCCGATGCCGAGGCAGCGGAACAACGTGCGGTGTGCAGTACGTCGTAACTCCAGATCGTTGCAGGGTGGGGTACGAATGCCGATGGCCACGAGACAACCGTCGGGACAACCATCGGGACAACCTTCGGACAACCATCGGGCAACCGTCGGGACACCTATCGGGACAACCACAGGACAATCGCGGGACGTCCACTGGGATAACCATCCTCGGGACAACCGTCGGATCAACCATCGGGACAACCATCAGGACAATTATCGGGACAACCGTCGGGACAACCGTCGGGACACCCATCGGGACAACCTCAGGACATCCATCGGGACAATTGCAGGACAACCGTGGGACAAACACGGGACAGCTGCAGGATAGTCGCGGGCCCAATCCGCAAACCGGACTGGGGGAAAGTCTTTTGCTCCGACTTCGCCTTAGCAACGGCGGGTTCACTCTTCTCGTCCGCGCACGCAGCTTCGCTTCGCCCGCACGCACGCACGGCATGAGCACGAAACTGAAACCGATTTCCGGTGGGGGGGGTCTCCGTTCCTCGTCGATCTCCCACCCTCAACCTTCTGCTATTCGTACTCAGATCTAACACTCTCGAATCCACTGACACTGAGACCCAACCGCGCTCAGACTCACACTCAGACACACTCATTCGGATTCGCGAACAGTCAGGCGCACCACGCTCAGACCACTCACGCTCAAATTAATCCTATGCATAGCACGTGGGCGCCCCAAGTGGGGCAGGTCGCCGTGGGGTGTTGCACGTGCCTGTTCGCGGCCAGACTGGGCATGAGCTGGTTTCGCCGGCGCTGATTTCGCCTTCGCTGGCTTCGCCCCGCTGGTTTCTCCGACGGCTGGTTTCGCCGGCGCTGGTTTCGCTGGCGCTGGCTTTGCCGACGCCGTCGTCGCCGCCGTCGTTGTCGTTGTCGTTTTCGTCGTCGTCGTCGTCGTCGTCGTCGGGCGTCGAGCGTCGGACCCTAACGGGCGTGTCGGGGCGGGCGGGCGGACCCGAGCAGGCGGGTCGGGTCGGGCCGGGCGGGCGAAATTTGACGGGCGGGTCGGGTCGGGCGGGCGGGATATTAAAATTTGGGGCGCGCTCGACCGAGCACGCGCAAACCCTAATGGGCGGGTCGGGCTGGGCGGACCCTGGCGGGCGGGTCGGGTCGGGTCGGGCGGGCGGATCGGGTCGGGCGGGACATCAAAATGTGGGGCGCGCTCGACCGAGCACGCGCGAACCCTAACGGGCGGGCGGGTCGGGTCGGGCGGATCCTAGCGGGCGGTCGGGTCGGGTCGGGCGGGCGGACCCTAACGAACGGGCGAGTCGGGTCGGGCGGGCGGGACATTAAAGTTTGGGGCGCGCTCGACCGAACACGCGCGAACCTTAACGGGCGGGTCGGGCCGGGCGGACTGACCGTAGCGGCGCGTGTCGGGTCGGGTCGGGCGGGCAGACCTTGACGGGTGGGTCGGGCGGGCGGGGGCGGGTCGGGTCGGGCGGGCGGACCCTGACGGGCGGGTCGGGTCGCGTCGAGCGGGCAGACCCTGGCGGGTGGGAAGGGCCTGGCGGGCGGGACATTAAAGTGGGGCGCGCTCGACCGAGTTTGGGCGAACCCTTAACGGGCGGGTCGGGTCGGGCGGGCGGACCGTGGCGGGCGGGTCGGGTCGGGCGGGCGGACCTTATTGGGCGGGTCGTGTTGGGTCGAACGGGCGGACCCTGACGGGTGGGTCGGGCCGGGTGGGCGGGACATTAAAGTGGGGCGCGCTCGACCGATCACGTGCAAAGCTCTAACGGGCGCGTCGGGTCGGGCGGGCAGACCCTGGCGGGCGGGTCGGGTCGGGTCGGGGGGGCAGACCTTATTGGGCGGGTCGGGTCGGGCGGGCGGGACATTGAAGTGTGGGGCGCGCTCGACCGAACACGCGCGAACCCTAACGAGCGGGTCGGGTCGGGCGAGCGGATCCTAGCGGGCGGGTCGGGTCGGGTCGGGCGGGCGGATCGGGGCGGGAGGGCGGG